TGTTCGACCCGCTGCCACCACCTTGTGGCCATTTGCAAGCGCGTGGATGACGTATTCCTATGTGTAGGGAGAGGAGAGCGCAAGAGTTCGATCAGAAACCGACAGGGTTGAAGCGAAGAGTGGCAGCAGCGCTTTGAGACGCTCACCTTGCCAAAACCGCTGGAGACTCCGGTGATGAAAAAGACTTTGCTTGGTGCGGTCTGCGAGGAGCAAGAGGAGGAGCGGGTCAGACACACGGCAACACTCATGACTCTTCGCACCTCGAAAGCTTAGCTCGGTGAAGCCTTACCATGGTGTGGATGAGGTCGGGTTTAGAAGTGCCAAACGTGTGTTACGGTGTATTGCGTACAGGAAAGCTGTCATACGGGGGCCCAGCGTGATTAGAGATGGTTTCAAGCCTTCTTATGTGCGGTATAGACTCATGCTTTGCTCCCCAAGGACCTGTGAAAGTGCGTATAGTCATCCTACCGGTGAGGTGCACCTGACCAGCGTCCCTCCCTCCACATCCCAGCGCACTTCCATCACATAAAGTCATGAGTACGCGTGTCAAGGCACATCATAGGTACGCTATCTGGCCAGCGTTCCAGGGCCGCACAACACATCTATCCAAACAGGGCGAAGGCTGGTGATGGCGCTCTGTTTGGACGAAGTCGGCGTGATCGAGTGGAGGTTCTCAAATCTCCGATCGGGCCGTGCCGCACATGTTTAGAAATGTCTGAATTCGAACCATATTCACAATTTGAATTTTCGGCGAATTAACACGTAAGCCGCGCGGCTGCCATAGATGTCCGCTGCTGTCTTGCGTCCATGCAGCATGCCGAGAGGCCTTATACATCCTCGCACATGTTTGGGTCGATTACTCGATCACTACGCACAGCATCGCAGTCTTGAATTGCATCGTGTCAATCGGCGGGCGGCTGGCTGTAGATTCACGACTTGCGATTTACGAATCACGCCAGTGCCTGCCTCCTAGCGTGGCCGCGTACGCTTTACTCAGACTCTGCAATTCAAAATTCACATTTCCTTCTTCTCCAGTCGAGTCTCGATCATCAACGGACGCTCAGGGTCTCCTATCTCATCGGCGAAACCGGATCAAAGACCGCACCGCATCACTTACTGTACCACCCATCTGTGCTGTGCGGTCTCGCTGGGGGTAAGAATCCACGAACAATTAAGCACAAACTTGGGGGCGCACACATCACATT